GCTGTTATCCATTACATCACTGCACATGTGTCATTTAATGCCAAAAGTTAATTTTCTTCAGAGCTTCAAAGCAATAAAAATATGATATATGTTATTCTGCTTTCACAATTGAATACATGGTAGATGATTGGTTGGTTGGTTGATTTTGGTTAGCGGCATATCAACCTCTATGGGTTCTTTAATAATGCCAAAATCTAAATATTTTGAACACAATTTTATGGCTTCAACTACAGATAAAATGTATTGTTGGTCATTTTTCTATAAAATGTAATATTAGTAATTCTACTATAAAATGTATTGCTGATTATTTTGTTTTAAAAATGTGTTGTTGGTAATTTTACTGTAAATATGTATTAGTGGTAATTTTTTTATAAAAATGTATTGTTGTTATTTTTATACTTTCATAGTGTTTTTTCTTCATTTGGGGGTTTCAATACTTTCCAATATCATCATCAAGGTTTTGATGGCTAAGACAATTGTGGTTGTCAGAAATACATTTTTGTTTTTGTGGTGAAACGATTAACATTTCAGATCAAGTGCAAAGACTGATTTTAAAAATTTTATCTTATAAGAGAAATTCTTTGTGTTTGAATTATTACAGTTGTGAATATGCTCATGAAAGTAATGTCAATTTCATAATTTTAATGTAAGGGAGGTAACTTAGTTAATAATTGAATTATTAATAGAAGGTTATAATTTACTTGTTTTTAAACTGTTAGATGTAACTTAGATATTTAAATATATATATATATATATATATAAGCATTTCATAACATTTATACTATATCGATACTTAATTTTGTTAAGTGCTGGTTTTAGTTTTTTAGCTTCAAGAATTTGTAGTTTCTGTTTATTACTTTCTTGGTGAAGTATAGAGCTATTGTCTACTAATATTCTTCTAAATTGTGAATGTGGACAGGAATGTTTCTGTAGATGTTGGGTAATGGATGATGGATCATTCATATGGAGAGTGAGCCTTCTATATAACATAATTGTGGTATAACCAATATATATGCAATCTCCCAAGGAACAGTGGGGAGGAATTATTGCAGATGATTAAGTTGCTAGTATTGAATTTAGTATAGTATATAATTAATTTTATTTTTTTTACTGGATTCTGTAGGTGGGGATATATTGGTATTTATGAGATTTTTAGAATTTTTTCATCTTGTTTATATTTAGAATGCATTTGATTATGATGTAAAAGATTGATATGTTTAGGGTTATTTGAGGAAGTATTATATTTGATTTATATTAAAACTAGTGTACCTGTGCCATCAAAATTGACAACAAGAAGGAATGTATTATAAGTAATATGTATTATATTGTAAGTAATTTTTGTTTAATCCAATTACAATTTTGTAATTTAAAATAGTTCATTGTTAACATAAATAATTAAACAGTATACAATTTATAAACACCCAAGGAAAGATATCCATATATTATCCTCATATATGTTACATATTTACAACCGAAATTATGTTTACTGCAGAAGTTCTCAAAGCAGAATATTTTTTGTGTAAACTTTGGAAGGTCTGAGTAATTCTTGACATGGGCATTTCAAGGTGGTGTAATGGTTAGTAAACATGCATCACTTGATCCATTATGTCTTAGTAGTGGGTTTGATCTTCCCTGGGTGCTCCACACTTTTTGGCCTTGTGTAACATCTAAGCTATACTTTGAAATTCATTTTTCACAATTGCTGTATGTTAATGCAGTAAATCTTGAGTAATACTTAACAGTCCATAGATTCAATCTGTAATTTCAGAGTCTGCTTATTTGTTATCCTACTAAGAGCAATGGATCATCAGATATTTTTTTTAATTTATTTTTTTTTCTCATGCTATTACCAAATTCTACAAGATATGTTTCAAATTGTAACATACAGTAATTAATGACAAAATGAACATATATACAGTCTCGGTATCATCCAACCCACCTTTTTGCAAAAATATTATCATTATATGATTTGTATTTGTGAAGATATTTCAAAATTAAAAATATATAATAATTGCATTAGAATCCATTTTTAGCCATGTAAGCATTTCGAAATTCTCAGAATTAAAAAGTAAATATAAAAGGAAATAATTATTATTCCTGTACATTTTTACATTTTAATTCTGAATAATTTTGAAATGCTATATGTATTTTTAAATTTTCTATTCTCTTGAATTTGTTTAAGTTTTTTTTTTTTTTGTGCAATTATTTTAAATCATTTCTTATTCATTTATTACTGCAGATTTTAAAAATGAATTTTAATATCTATTCTTTTTTACTTTACTTTACAAAAACAAATTTCAAACAAAATACCTTGAATTAGTTCAGACCAGGCTGGGGCAAGGGTCTCTGCCCCACCCCAAAACTATTATACGGAAAAATAATTTATTTATGTTATGGAAAAAAAATTTTTTATTTAACCTTTAAAAAATAAACTCCATTGTTTTTTTGGTTTGTTACTAACATGAAAAAAGTAAATAATTTTAAATTAAGTGTTATTCAAGCAAGAACTATAGTGAGCCTTATTTTTTTCAAAAATAAATTTAAATAAAATATAGCAAAATTCATAAAATAAATATTCAACACAATTAATGTTGCCCCTAACTCATGTCTGTCTCACATATTTTTTATTTAACTAAAGTTCATTTTTTCTTTTTAAAAACAAATATAACTTGAATTTGGGTGAGTGGATCATCATTATTTTGACCACTGCCCCTCAAATGTTATACACAAAAAAAACTATAAATATATATATATATATATTTATGTGGTGTATTATATAAATATATATATTTATATGGTGTATTATATAAATATATATATTTATGTGTGTATTATATAAATATATATATATATAAAAATGTGGTGTATATATATATATATATATATATATATATATATATATATATATATATTATATTTATGTGGTATTATACATATATATATATATAAAAATGTGGTGTATTATATAAATTTAAATATAAATGTGGTGTATTATATAAATATATATATATATATGTATTATTATATATATATATATATATATATATATATATATATAGAGAGAGAGAGAGAGCGCTTTTCTAATAGATCACCTTATTTGTTTATCAACAGTGTAGTTAGGAAAGTCATTATTAATGAGAGTTTCTTTAATGCTTTTTAGTTTAGTGTAGAAAATCTTTTTTGTGGATGAGTTAACTTTTGCATGGTTTATTAAATTTTGAGCAAGTGCTATTTTGCTGTAGTTATAACATTTGCATTTATAATTAAGTGTGCATGAGTTTATGCTAGTAGGTTTTTTACATGAGGAAGTAGTGAATGTATTATTATTGGTGTCTATCAATATATCAATGAAAGGAATTTTATTATTATTAAGTTCATATGTAAATTTAAGGACAGTTTTTTTTTTAATTCTTTTTGTAGTTTGTATATTTCATCAATGTTTTTACTAAGATGAGGATATCATCAACATATCTTAGATAGATGGGGGGTTTATTTGAAAATATTAAGTATATTTTTTTATAATTATATCAATCTTTTCACTTGCTGCGACATTGGTGAATAAATTTTCAACATTAAGTGAGACTATGGTTTCATTATCATTTTTTGTATTTTTAGGATTTGGATTAGAGTTGATTTGATGCTGCATTTACTGGGGATGTATGGTGTAATATGTTGGTTAATAATTTTTGTTAGTTGATAAACAGGAATAGGGATTTGGGATATAATAGTACAGAGAGGAAAGTTTAGTTTGTGTGTTTTTATGGTTCCATAAATGTAACCTGGTTTATAATCATCAATCATTTTGAGAAGTTTTAAAATGTCTTGTTCTGCATTATTGACTGTGATTAGTTTGTTGATTTTTAATTTCAGCTTGTTAATAGGATTCCTCTTAACTTTTAGAAATTTGATGTGGTCATCAAGCATTTGTTCTATCTTTGTATTGTAATCAGATTTGTTTAAAACTACAAAGATGTTTGTTTTGTCTGCTTTCTTGACAATTATATCTGAATGTTTACGTAACTCCTTGACAGCGATTTTTTTTTTTTTTTTTTTTTTTTTTTTAATGGCTTAGTTAGTAGTTTAGAAGAATATTTCTGTTTGTCATGTCTATCTTTTATGGCCTCAGCCATGAATAAGTTTTGAATTTCCGGTTCAGGTCTTATCAGTTCCTCTAGAAGTTTTTCTATACTTTGATATAACATCTCTATTTATTATATACAGACTATATATATATATATATATATATATATATATATATATATCTCACAAATTTGTCTACCTATCCTGATGATGACTTAAGAAAGATGAAAGCTTGGACCATATTATTTTTACTTTTTTCTCCTTGTTTGAGAAGGATTATTCATAATTTGGAAAAGATGATCATTAAATTTAATCAACAGAAAATTTTTGTCATTTTCAATAGTATTTGCTTTAAAAAACATTTGCAGCCTAAATATATGGTGTGTGTGTGTGTGTGTATATATATATATATATATATATATATAAATATTTAATGAATGATAAAGAGCAGATGTGGGCATAAGAATATCAACACAGACTATTTGGAATCAGTCCCACACAACTGGGCTGTGTCCCTAGTCATACTAGCACTTCCATCACAACACATTGGAGCAAGTCTTCAGTTTGTGTTCTAAGAGGCCCACCTGGGGGAAAGAATCATGTGCTATAGTGTTTAATAATAAGAGCATTTTCTACTTTAATTTAAGTGTTCCATAGTTGTTTGTGTGTATGACCTCTACTTGGGAGTGACATTTTTTTTCCGGGGGGGGGGGTTATTTGCCCAGGACACACAGACCCAACTCCTGGCATCATAATGCAAGGTTGTGATTCACTTTGGCTTTTACTCACTTTTAGCGTTTATGGATTTTAATCTTTACTCAATTGAAACTTATATTTAAAATGTTGTAATTTTATTTTCTGCCAGTGTATATGTGCATTTGCCATATGCAAATTTTTATACAATTTTACATGAGTAACTTATGGTTTTTGGTATCCAGAGTAGAAAGGCTGGAATCAATCCTCCCTGTCTCACCATGGATAGAGAGGAATGTATATATGCACAAATGTTTCTTGTCATTTTTTTATTTTATTTGTTTTTAATCCTCCTTTTAACCTTGCATTTTTCCCTTCTTTATTTTTCTTCCTGTTCCCTAGGTGGGTGAGAGAGTATTTCTTATACTCACTTACACTGTCATCTTCTTTCAAATCGCTTCTACCTCTCCATTATTGCCGTCATTATCAAATTACATAAATGTATGCACTTCCTTTCTCTTGTCTGAATGTCTTCACATAAGTACAGATTCCAGTTTCTGTTCATTTCTATTCTTCTGTACACACATTCAGCTATAAACATTTTCAGATTCACATCTTTACCATTATGGACTCTCATTGACTTCTCTGTGGAGTTTAAACTCCACTCTAGGTGCTTGTACTTGGGTAATTAAGAAACCTGCACATGTGCAAATGCAGGTCTCTTGTTGCTGACTTAATCGTTATGCATCAAAGTCAAAGAATATTTACTGCAGAAAATGCGCCAGAGAAGAAAGAGGACATCTGTTTCCTGTCATGATCATATTTCTCTAAGCTAAACCATTTGTAGACTGAATCTATTAATAAATTTATATTTGTGTGTGTCTTTGACTCTACATTCTTATACACGGTAGTATTCCTGTTAGTATGTGTGTTGTTTTTAGTCTATTTAATGCTATGTTAATTGATACAGATTTTATTTTTACATTTTAATCAAGAAGAGAGTTTTTGACATTTTTGTTTCCCTATAAAACAAGGCAACAATTTGAATTTTTTTTAAAAATGTATTACAGTTATTTTTATAAATGTTTCATTATATTAAAATATCTTAACATTTGGCTTTTGCTTTAGTGCTTACCAGTTTTAAGTACTTGTTAGCTGTATTGGAGCTTATGGAGAATTTTCTCAGCACATTATATTGTTATACATATAAAAAGGCACTATTATATCAGCTATGTTGCATTCATTCCTGACCACTGATAATGCTTTACTTCTTTATTCACACTGCATAATCTACAGTTTATATGCTGATGCTTGATCCAATTTTAGATAAAAAAAAAAGCAAAATTTATTGCTTTTTGATCACTAAAATCCAACTTTTCAAGCAGTTATTTGATCTTCATTCATTCATTTAAATGATGTTCAGAGCTTTACTTTGAGAAAATGATGGTAACCTTCTTTTTTTTTTTTTTTTTTTTTTTTTCAAGTTAATTAGGCATGCATAGAAGGACAATTCTCTGGTGACAGTTTGATTCAGAAACCATAAATTTAAGCATTCTAATCAGCTGGGATTAAGACAAAAATGTATTATTTAATTGAGTCTGTTGCCTTTTTGTGCAAGTGCAGTATGTGCAGGTTTCCTGCCATTTAGGATAAAGAATGTTTTCAATCTCATCAAATAAAAACATTTTTTCCCCAATAGGTTCCATTTAGGTTAAGATGTTAAAGGCTTTTTGGGATGTTTTTTTCTTTTTTTAACTATTTGTTCACTCAAGTACAAGGACAGAATACCACTCCAATATGAGGTTTACTGAATGGGTCTGTTTTAAGTACTATCGTAGAATAGATAACAGTTTAAGAGTGTAGTGATCATTGAAGCATCCCCAGAGGAGTCTACTCCATATTGAAACAGTTCTGGGAAAGAAAGCTGTCTGAGTGGAACTTACTCCTTACTAATGGAATTTGAAGAGAATGAGAATGAGTTTGACTCGATGTATATGGCAGGGTGAATTCCAGCTTTGAAGGTCTGGACTGGTCGAACCAAAGAATGTTGTTCATCTGAAAATCTGCTATGGAAATAGCAAGAAGCTAGCAATATTTTGTCGGAAAGGGACAACTCAACACCGAGACAATTTGGTATCAGAAAAACATAACTTTATTTTATAATTGAATAAAAGTAATTTATTAAGGATTAAAACCTTTATTAGTAAATATTTTTCTTCAAATAAGGCATTTGCAAAGGCATTACCTTCATTTGTTTGTAAAAAGTCGATGAAAAAGTTATTTGGTGGGGTGGTCATCCCCCTCCCCTTATATATGAAGGCAGATCAAGAGGAATTGCATACAATTTTGTGTAAATTTTTAAATATTTAAAATAATTTTTGTATAATACAAGTAAAAGAAAATTTAATTGATTTTTCTTAATTTTTGTGCATTTTATTCAATTATTTTTTTATAAAATTATTTTAGAATGTCAATTTACTTTGTAAAAAATTAATTACATCACAATTTACTTTATTAAAAATAATCAAAAACAAAGAACTGATTCATTTTGTTTTGCATTTTTTGATGTACTTTATTAAAAAATAATTAAAAACAATTGTTTTACTGAATTATTTTTTTATATATCAATTTACTTTATTAAAAAATAAATTTCTTTATAATTTACTCTACTAAGGCTTGTAACTGACATGCTACAGTTGACTGTATAAGCAGCAGATAGTTAAGTAATCTTTAGACACTTGTAATGTTTCCCTAGTATTCTGGCACGGTGTTAACCATTAACCAATGAGGGTGGTTAATGCCCCCTATGCTGTAAGTAGAGCTATGATTCTCCTCATTTTATATGAGAGGAGTTACCCAACCCTGTGTATCTCAATCCTGCGGCAGCACTTTCCTCATTGTGCTAAAGAGGTTGGGTTGGTGTAATATAGATTCATGACAGTAGTCGCAGGACCTGGGCAAAATCAATTTTTGTCCTTGGCCCTTATGCATAAATATGCATATGGTGCTGTCCACATTAAAATGACCTTGTGTCATATCCAGACTTGGAGGGGAGGCTGGGTAAATATACCTTGCATTGTATAGACAATGAAATTATAGTATTGGGAACATTTGCATGAACTTCTTATAATAGTAATTGAGTGAGACAATTTCTCACCCTCCCCATCTGAAACTGGCCACCAATGATTTTTGTTCACTGGCATTAGCCATCTCTTGGGTATGTCGCATTGTTGACCCCAATTCATCTGATTCTTTGACTGTAAATCCTACCCACATTCAATTCCTGGCACATTCATTTTATCCAGTGAAATTGACTTCAATATTTTCTCCTTGTATTTGTGAGATTTATTTTCTGTTTTAATGTATCCATAAAAATCTTAGAAATTATTTGAACAAAATCAAGTTTGACAAGACCATACTTCGTGAGCATTCATGAAAGGTTGACGGCAGCAGTTATTCACCACACTAGTAAGTCAAGGAATTTTTCTTTATTAGGACAAAAAAAAATTATATATATATATATATATATAGCTTGTGGTTGAGGTTAGTGGTTGGACAGTAAAGGTATATTGTAGAATTTTCTGGAGGTTGGACCTGGCATTACAGAAGTCGTTTAACTGGAAAGTGAAGCATTTATTGTCCTTTTTGTGCCGAAGATGAACAAGTATTTCTTTTAGCCTGTGGCATCTGCATTATCTCTAATCTCCTCTCTTCTGCCTACTCTTGGGCGTTAGCTCTTCACCGACTTTGCTAGCCTTATTCAACAAGAGCTTCGGCTGACTTTTTCTCTTTGTCTGCCCCCTCAATCTTTTCTGTAAACATCTTTTCTTTCTCTTTTGCCATTCTTCCTTTTTCTTCCTTACTTTTCTTGTACTTTATCTTTTTGGTTCTCTTTGTTCTTTTCAGTCACTTTCATTTTTCTTCTTTCTACTTGTCTTTCTATCGTCTCTGATTTCTCTCTCTTCTGCCCACCTTTCTTTCTCTTTGTTCACTTCAAGATGGCCTATCCTCTGCTTATCACCCTCTTTCCCTTGTCTTCTTTTTTTTTTAATTTTATTTTAACTTTTCTTTTCTCTCCCCCCTTCCAACTTTTTTTATCTTCTTCATCTTTTATTTCTTTCTTCCATGGTGCACTTTTTCTTTTGTTTTGTTGTCTTTGGCATTGTTTAAACTGTTATTTTTTTCTCATTGCTTCACCAATGTTGAATGTAGCCTCTGTCATTGACATTTCTCCACCCTGTGTCTATACAAACAGTGCAATTTTTGTGCGTATTGTTTCCTCATTCAGGTGTACCTTCACAAATTGGCGGTTTTGTTTTCTTTCTCTTTTTCTTTTTGCTAAATTTACTTTTAGATTTCCGAGGCTTTGTTGAAATTTGGTATTGAGTAAATTAAACAAGGCAGCACAAAAGTAGATACACTTACTATTTTTATTCATTTGAAGGTGTTGAATCTAAATTCACTTGTTAAAGAGATAAAATTGAAATAATAAAGATAACATTTTGGGAGACAATATTAACTGTTCATCAGAAATCCATCCTTATCCCGTAGCTTCTCATATAGATCTCTATCTATAAAAGGCAGGATGTGTGTGTGTGTGTGTGTGTGTGTGTAACGAATGCACGGCCGCAATTTTTGATGGATTTGCACCAAAATTTACATGCACATGTTCCAAGTTAGCGGGAAGGCCAAGACCGACTTTACATTTCCCAACTCCCATCGATAGTGGAAATAATCGATTTTTTCATGCTTCTACGTCAGTTTTCATGTAGTTTGCGGACATTTTCTACTGGCCAGAGTAAGAGCCTATAACTGGCTGCCATGAATAGGCAGGAAGATTTTATTGGCCAGCGTGAGAGCCAACAGCTGACTGACATGAATGTTAACTAGCATGCAAAAAAAAATCGATAACTGCATTCATCACAAGTGGGAAAAATTTAAATCTGCATGGCAGTTTACTCCAATTGGCTCATTCACTTGCTTAAATTCAATGTTGATTCTGATTCCGCAGAACTGGGTTGGGTGTGAAAAAGTATTTGTTGTTAACATTCTTTTTTTAATTCAGTTTTTCCATTCTGAGTCCTTTTAAAGCTGATCGTTTTGTGTTCATTTTGTTTAGTTCTTTTTTTTGTAACAGATTTAATGTTTAGTATAGAGCTTAGAAAAAATTTGCAGTGTGAGATAGGCAAGAGGTAAGGCATGTAGCAACATCAGCACAGCAAAGGGCACTCCTTTAAAGGCAAGGAAGGGCAAAAATATTTTAAGTCAAGTGATAGTGATTGCTGTATAAGTCGTATGATTTTTTGAATCAAGCACAGGCAACGCTGCTAATATTGTAATAAGACACACCTGTCTTGTATTGACCTCATCAGTCACTAGTGATGCAGATGGGGAATGCATTTTTAGATCTTTATTCACAGATTCCTTCTAAAGTTGACTTCAATTCTGTATTTCTAACATCATAACTTTGAACTTTTATTTACATTTTTTTCCTCAATAGGAATAGAAAGGTTTGCCTATTGTCACATTCACACAACTCCTTCATTTTTTGAACATTATATGAATACTACCTTATGCTTCCTGTTCTTGTTTCCTGTTTAATATTGGGTTTCCATTTCCTTAAGTCTTTTCCTTCTCTTTCACTTGTAGTGGCACCTTGCGTCTTGGTGGCATTATCACCTTGCTTGGAGTGTTGCCTCCTACTCTGTAATCCTCTACTTGGAGTGGTTTTTGGGCCTTATACAGGGCGAACATCACTGTTAAAAAAAGTGGCAACAATATTAACTTTTTACACAAGTTGTATAAGAATTTCTGATTCCTCATGCTTTTGATCATCTCTGATGTTTACATAGGCAAAAAAAACAACTATTTTTAGTCACTTGTTGAAATAAACAAGATTCATCCAATGAGTTCAAACTGCTAATCAAAATATTCATAGGCTATATAGTTGATCAGAACCAAGTTACTACTACTACTACTACTTCCTCATATTGAGTATATTTTTATTTTTATTGCATTTTTTACCATGACATTTTGTACACTGAAGTCAGCTGTGCCATTTTAAGAGTAGAGAAGATACTGCCAATCAAAATGTCATAAGGAAAGAAAAAAACAATCCCAATATAAATGAAGAAATAGCTTTGAAGAGACTTTCCATTAACCTGTTCACTGACAATAGTAATAGCAGCTATTATCAGTTATTGCTTAAACAGTTATTTTTTTTCCTGCTTTTAGTTATGCCTGTGAAAGGCCAAGGGCTGCTGGCACCCTGGGTAAGCTGAACTTTGGTGCTCTTACAACTGTAATATTTAAAAATTTTCACAGTGTGAAAAAACGAAAATGTAGAATAATGAGTTTATTACAATATACAAATTAATGCAAACTAAAGAAAATATTCATTATCCTACCTAAAACATTTTTTCTAGCCTTTAGATTTTCAAATCTTTTCATGGCATTTACTATAGCTATCTTCATGACAAGATCATTTTCTACTGACAAAATAGCCAAAAAATATAATCTGTCTTGAGTCATGGATGACTGCAGATATGTTTTTATAGACTTTAGATTTGAAAGATCCCATACACATGATATTGTGGCATGATGGCACCCTGGGTGACAACCCAAGTTGCAAGTAGCTTGAGCCGGCCCTGCCTGTGACAAAATTTCAATAAAGAATTATTCTAATGTCAACACCTCAAGTTCTAGTTAGAAACGTCGTCTGGGTACTAAGGTGGGATTTTTTTTAAAAACACAAATCAAGTGCACATGCATCAAAACTTGGGAAAACATGGCTGGAAAGTCAAAACTTACATCGGTCTCAATTTCTGTGCAGTTTTAGACAGACAGAGGGAGGGAGGGAGAGGGACTAAAAAACTTAACAGGACTAAGGAATGAATTCTGTGTTTTTTTTAAATTTTTTTGGCAATTAACTCGGTTTCTTTCATCAATCCCTTCTGTAAAATCAAATAAAAGGCATTAGATTTTTCATTTTAACAACCCATTTCTTTATCTCCAACATGAATTTTGTGTAGCATGTGGAGTTTTCTAGACACCTGTGGTTGTGTAACGGAATTTACAATGAAAGCACCAACTGTTTCAACATTTTGATTGATGTTGAATTGTTTGCTATTCTCATTGACTAAAACTTTTTTTCTGACTACTTTTGTTTTTTCAATAGTAATTCCACTGCTCTTAGTCTCAAGTAAACTATTAATTCTGTCTAGACAGGGGAAGAAGTGAATGGGATGTTGGTAGATATCTCTTAAACAGTTTTCAGGGATGATTGGGGCCAGCTATGAAAATGATGTCAGTTGTTCTGTCTGAAAGGCAGATTTTGTAGATTTAATTTTATTATAATAAATTTGTAAATATTAATTTTCAGTATATTAAGGAAGCATTTAACTTGCTTGTAATCCACCAGAACAAAACTGGCCTTAACTTTAATTTTTACAATTTTACCCTAATGAAAACAGCACATAATTCATTATGTTGAATATACATTGAGAGAGTACTGATTACCTATTTAATGAACTATAAAACATATCAAGAACACTAAATGACATCACTAACCTTTATTAAATCCATTCTTAAAGAATCTAACATATGTTTATCTACCACAATTGGTGTTTACATAAATACATCCCTAAATCAACATGAAGACAACCACGAAATATAAATAATGACTACTAGACACACAGACACACACACATACTTACAAATATACATTATCATTCAAATTTCATATAGACAAACTAGAATTATGATACACTTACGTACATGAAACAATATTTACATTTTTTTAGTTAGGCTTACAATCTGTTATTTTTTTGAGCTTCGAGAGGACACATCATCTTAGAGTTCAGAATGCCATAGCTTTTAATAATGCTGCTTAACAAGACAAATGCATGTGAAGCTTACTTAACCAATGAAAATCAAACAACACAAAAATAAAAATTACCAGGATTTCTTTCTTTCTCCATATCTCATTCTCTGATAAAACTTTAATAAAAGTGAAACGTTAGATTTATAAACGTTTCCTATTTGTTCTTTATCCTATCATGAATGAAATATGCATTTTTATCAGCTTATGAAAATGTTGCAATGAAAATCTTTTCTCATATCTCTTGATAATTAATTATTAAAGCTGTCTTAAGAAGAATGGAATCAGCAATCTTTGAAAATATTACTTGTTTTAACAGAGGATGTAAAATGCAATACTGAAATCCGAAAGCACATTGCGTAGTGAAAGATGCCTTCCAAAGGCTAAGCAAAGTATTATGAAACAGAAAAATCTCATTAGAAACAAAGAAAAGACCACTGAATGTAATGTCAGTTCTTCAATGTGGCAGTGAATGCTGGACAATGTCCTCACAGATGAAGAAGAGACTTGAAGAAACAGAAGGATTCTGAGGATTATCATGGATCTGACATGTAAGCAATGATGAAGTGTTAGAGAAAATGGAAGCAAAAAGGAAAGTTATACTTAACATCAGAAAGAAACATTAAATTTCTAGAGCACATAATGAGGAAAGAGGGCTTGGAAAATTTGATACTCATAGGCCAGATTGAAGGCAACACATAACCTTCCTAGTGAGCTTGAGTAAATAGATGACAGAACAAGTTTTAGGAGATATAACAAAAAGACAAAATTTATTAAGTGCTCCAAAGAACAGGAAATTGTGCAGAAGGGATATGACATAAAAGAAGTTATTAATAAAATGTTACTTGTTAAATAATTATTTTACTAACTATTCGTTAATAACTAAAATCTGTGACTATTAAAAAAATAAGTTATAAGCAGTTAATTTAAATTTGTTAGTGGAAACCAGTTGTGCCTATATCTACAAATGAATTAGATGTGAAATGTGCAGATTCATGAATAAGTGAAGGGTGGGGGGGAAAGTAGGCACCTTTTGCCACTTGCTGTAAGTGACTTTGATTCTGATGGAATTTTGGCAAACTTTGTGTCCGCAAAGAAAAATGGAATGTCAAAAGAACATTTTTTTTTTTTCTCTTGACACTGCTTTATTTTAACTACCTTCACTCCTTGCCAATGTTTGTTTTAGAAATTAACGATTAGAATTGTAATAAAATTTAAACTTATGATGAAAGTGAATTTATACATTTTCTTTGTTCTTGAGAATTGGCAACAAAAATAATAGACATTATTTATTTATTAGATTGTTTATTCACACTATTTATTAGTTTTTTTATTGGAATGGTTGGTAAAACATTGGCTAATTGCCAGTTGATTCAAACTTTATAAAATGGTAAAAAAATAAGGATTTCCTTACAGTTGCGTTACATATTTTTATAATTCAGAAACCGTTTAAAAATTCAAGAATAAAAAATTGTTTTCATTTATATTTATTTC